CCACCCACCGCACGGCCGGACATCATCCGCAAGTCTGGGAAGTGATGTGCTGCCGGCCCTGTCCACGACTCGACCGCCGAGTCGTTGACGATGGCCTCGCAGCCCTCCTCCCACCACTGTCGTTGCTGCGGTGCTGAGTGGTGCCCGTCGGGATGGTTGGAATCCACGGTTCGGGCTCCCGGACTTGTGTTCACAACCACGCAGGCGACGAGGACGGAGGCATTGCCGAAAGAGGAACCTGTCCCGCAGGCCTGTCTGCCATGATACCATCTGCAAAGCCCCTCCGTAATCTTAAATGTTTACCGTCTTCTGCGGTCCTGCAGGTAGCGGCAAACAATAGAGGGGCGACGGGAAACTCTCGAAGAATTATCGACGATCATTATCCTCCTTGACAGGCGCATCCTGTCCCGCGGGGACAGCATCATGAGACTTCCGCCGAGGGATGAAAATGCAGTGACGAGGATGAGGGGAGGGGAGTTCGGCTGGAGCCCGTACACAGTACCGCAAGTGGACGGCGCGCAGGGACCAGTTTCCCAAGCTGGCTTGTCTTATTCATGTGCGTCGCCATGGAAGAGGGCGAAAGTGGGAAGAGGGCGTCTGCGAATTAACCCGACAACTCGCTCCGTGAGGCATTCGACGTCTGCTGCTATTTTGAGCCGTCACGGGATGGTGGGATAAGCTGGAGGTCGTCTCCGTCCCAAGAAGGCCCGGAGGCCAAAACACACACAGGCGCGCGCAGTCTTGACGACACCTTGTCATTGCCCTATGTACCCCGACTCAGGCGGTCAACAGTCTGGCAGTCAAGGACGTTGATGTCCATATTTTCCGAAATGACATCGTCGTGTGGGCAGAAGAGCGGGAGGCAGAGACAGAGACAAAGCGTAACGCCTGAGGAATGCAGGCAGATGGGTTCGTCCCCACCAAACAACCCGCCGACGGAGCATTTTCGCGTGGAGGAGCAGCAGGGCCATGTGTTGAGATTCTCACGACCCGGTCTAGTCTGCTGTCTAGTGTCTAACCCCCTCCCCTCTCTCTCAGTCTCGCCCTTGGACGCTAGGGTTGTTGCTCCCCCATCATTCGTCATATGGTGATTGTGTCTAGCCAGTAGCTGGGTCTAGGCACGATCGTCATGGATCACGGCCAGGCAAGGAGTGGAAAAGAAAGATGCACCTCCATCCAGTCTCCAGCAGAGAGAGTCTAGATGCCGCCCAGTCGGGCACTCGCTGACTGATGCCGTGGTGGGCGGTTTCAGAAAAGGACCCTTGGTGGATTCGGCCTAAGCTTAAGCCGCAGCGTCCAATCAGACTCCTGAAGAGCTGGCCCTGCAAGCGCTATGAGCTCCTCAGGACGGTGATTGGCTCCCTCAGATTCATTCCATGATGGATGATGGGGCACCGGTCTGTCTGCTCGTCACAAGTGGTCCCGCCGTCACCACACCTCCTCCATCCACCACACCCACCACTCCTTTCTCACCACATCCATCCACTCAACTCACTCCTGCGCTTTGCTGCTCTGCAGCGTGCAGCACACACAGCACATACACGACGGACGTGGTCCTGCTCTCTTCCAATGTCTGGCCTGGTCTTCCCGTCCCACCTCCTCCTCCCACCCAAGACCGGACCACACACATTCTCCCAACTCGACATGGGCCAAGAATAGCTTTTGCTTTCTCGACCTCGCAGCCATTCATCTGGGAATCGTTGCACGGCGCATGCGGGAGTGAGATCGGGTCGCAGAAACTTCGACCGCCTTGTCCCGTCTCCGGTGCGTGCCTGGCGGTTGCTGAGATTAACTACCAGCCTTTCACTGCACTTTCATCACCCGCAACCCCTCGCCTCGTGACCTTCAACGACTGATGCCACGACTCGTCCCGCTGGCTGACTCGCTACCGTCGCCGCTACGGATACTGCTACCGCTACCGCTACCGCTGCCGCGGGGCTCCGGCCGCCAGCAGGCCGAGGTGTCTTGACGCCGACCTGGTATTTGCTGTGCTGTCCTTGGGAAACACAGGAATAGAAACATCACGCTCCGATGTGCTCGCCTACCTGCATGACCCGAGGGGAGAAACATCAAGTCCAGGTTACCACGCCCATCCGCGATGGGGAATCGTCCGGCAATGGCACGCTGTGAGGAACGACTTGCACAATGAGATGAAACTTGAACCCCGAAAGGGACGGGGATCTGAGCATGCCGGCAGTCGACCTACCAACCTGGGCTTGCCGCCTTTCTCAGCCCACGAGCTATGGGATACTTGCCTGACAGAGCAAGTACCTCGTCGTCGTTGCGCTACTGGCCATGCTGTTTTTTTTCCTATTTCTCCGGGCGGGTGATGAGAAAGAGACGGTCGCCGCCGACGCCGCCGCTGCCGTGCCTGGCTTGGGTCACCTGTCAAATCTGCACAATAATTCCCGACCAATGTGGGCGAGTTCCACCAGCTACTGCAAACTTCCTTTCTTCAGACTTCATACCTTTCACTTTTGGAAGGGGGGGTTGGTAACTCTCAACCCCGGCAGACGCAGGGCTGGCCGCCTCGGAGGAGGACGGTCACCTCGCCTATGTGATCTCGAGTCCCTGGGATCACTACGGCGAAGTGGAGATGGGAAAGTCTACCAAACCCAGAGCCAATCTGAAACGACAGGGAAGGCGGCCGATCTCCCTCGCCTCGCTGAGTCGACGAAACATGACACTTTCGACGTCGACTTCCGCCGTTCTCGAGCCGTGGATGTGGATTTGGACGTGGTATTGGTGGTGGGCAAGCTCTAACCTGGAAGATGGGGGGGGAGCCTAGAGGGGGACACGAAGAGCCAGGACACCACGACGACAACCTCGTCCTCGTCACTTGCCTTGTCCGCATTCCGCTATGCCCAGAGCCTTGCCGGCCGCTTGCCAATGCCATGCGACGTGCCTGATTCGTGCATGAACCTGCCTGTTCCCACCCAGTGCAGTTCTCGTGCCTGGGAAGATAGGTGATGGCGGAGAGAGGACCGTGGTCGATGCGACAGCAGCAGCATGCACCCAGCCATCCATTCCCAGCCGTGGTTTTCCTCGTCAGTTTCCTTACCTATCTGTGTGCTGCTCCCCACCCAGGATACGACAGCGGGCTGGTTGATTCTAACTGCTATCGCGCAAGCACGAACAAGCAGCTCGTGTTGATGTCAACCCGCAGTTGCTTCTCCAGTTTTTTCCTGCAACCGACGGCCTTGTTCACGGTTGCTCCGCCGCGTTGCTCTGCCTGCGGTCTGGAAGCGTGAAGGTGTGCTTTGAGCCAATGTTGTGCAGCACCCGAAACACGGCGAGAGGGGCGATTTTCAGGTACATGAAACACGAGCGAGCGACCTTTCTAGGGACATGTCACATCGTCCTTCCAGAACAATTTGAGGCAGCGATCGGCCGTTTATGTCAGCTTTGGACATTGCTCTCTCAGCCCTCACGGGTCGTCTGGCCCAAGGGGAGACCCCGGGGAAAGGGCTGGCTGGGCCTGGGCAACGACCTTGCGTCCCATGCCCACAGGTCGTTGCTCGAGTCCCCTTTTTGACAGGGAATCCCACTGGAGCGTTCCGGTTGGTCCAAGAAAGGTCCGGCAAGACTTGACGGAGCCCACCGCCCAACAACGACGACGACGACGATCGTGAACGCTCGACGGACAGGCTCCGCTGTCACGGATCCTTCTGATGGATTCAACGAAATGGGAACGGACGGTCGACCGGGAGGAGGTCTGCGGGACACGGACTGGTGCTATTTCTCTTGACGGCCTCGCGGTTGATGCCTCGCGGGCCGGGACAAGCAGCCCGCCCCAGAGTCAGGTAAGCTTCAGTCAGGCGCAGTTTAAGCATACGGTGAAAGGCTATGACGTCCCGCTAGAAGCCCTCGAATCGTGTTAGTCCGCCAGCCTTGTCCGTCTGCCCTCGTCTTTCTCTCTGCTCTCCCCTTGCGGCCCTCGCGGACGCCGCCGCTAATGCCCCCCGTACTCGGAGGAATCACCCGGATCGATATCAAATCGCCGTAACGCTACTGCGTGTGTTGGGGGTGGACGAGACAACAGCTGGCCAAAGTTCCGCGCCGTTCCCAACTCTCGTCTCCAATTTTTAATTTTTTTGGAGCCCTGTTTCCTGGTGGTGTTGTTGGACAAGGCACATCTTTTTTTGGGCATATCTCAAACTTGACGGCGTCTGCCATCAAATCTTTCTTTACCCATACCACCACCACCCATCTCCTCCTTCTGCCGCCCACCGCTCTTGTTTCACATCGCCGCGTTTGTTTCGTAGCCCAGCACTCCCATGAACACGAAGATCTGTGCCTGGATCACTCCCATCCACCGGACAAGCATCCACCATCCCACCACGCACCGTCCTTCTCAATCCAGTCCTCGTCCGAAGCGGCAAACACCAGGTTTGGTCGGTTCGTCTTCCTGCACGGCATGGGTTGCGCACACTTCCTCTCCTCCTCCTCCTGCGTCGTCGTCCACTGTGCTGACGAGCTTTGACGCTGTGACCTAGTTGCACAGGTAGCACTCGGGCAGATATCTGAAACATTGACAGACAACTTGTTCAGTCTTTCTCGTCCCTCTCAACAGACGTTCTGACCTGTGGTCGTCGTCGCCCACTATCACGTAACCCCCCTTCGCTCGTCCGCCGCCACCGTCGCATTTGCCTGCCTGCCTCGTGGCGTGGGCCATGCCATGCCGTGCCCATGCCACACCTGCCTCGACTGCTCTAGCTCCCCAGTCTGTGGACGAAGAAGCGCCGACATAGCCTCCCGAGCTGCATGGAATCCTTCCATCTCGCAACCGAATCTTGCTCCATCACCGTTGCCCTTTGCTCCCCTTTACCCGACGTCGGCCTGCCCGTCATCGTCGTCTTAGTCTCTCCAAACATAGAGACGAACGACGGCAAAATCTTTGACAGCAGTGGCCGGCCATCATGTCCGCGCCACTTTGCCGCCGCCGCCACCCCGAACGAACCACTGCAAGCTGCTCAACTGACAAGTCGTAGTCGATCAAGCTAGCCCTTGTCAATATGCTTGCTGCTCTCTTCTTCCGCCCTTCCGCCACATACCAAAAAAAGGTGACCTCTTCCCTGAACCGGTACGGTAGAACCATCCATGATCCCCGTTTGTGTCTGCCCACCCCAGCAGCCGCGATCTCCCATGCCCAGGTCCTCTCCAGATCGCAAGAGCTCTCTATGTGTACTTTGTTCGGCCTCGTCCCGCCGGTAGACCCCTGCCTCGAGATCGACTCCTGAAACCGCAGACCTCGCCCGCCTGCGGCTGCCATTGGTGTATGCCGCCCTGAGGCATAAAGTTCCGTAGGCGCTCAGACTCGACGACAAGGACACCGGCGCCTTTTCCTCGCAGGGGACAAGCCATGCTCCTCGCGTCCGGTTGACTCGTTTTGGTCCCCTGGGGAGTGCGGCGAGGAGAAGGGGTGGCCTGCTGGGCGTCTCCTCCGACTGGCTGGGAGCGGGATGTGGTTGAACGTTCCTTGGGGACCTTGGGATGTATACAACACGCGAGAGCAGACAGCAGCTGGACGGATGGATACCTACGCATTACGACGGGCCTCCCTTTGCTGTCCCCGCACGTGGCGTGCTGTGAACTCTCGAGGAGGGAAGGTTTGCCGAGACTTTCATGCCCTTTTGCCCACTCTTGGCGCGCGCCGGCAAGGTCGAGGTCGATCACTCTGGAGGGAAAGGCCCAGCTGGGACAGCACGCGGGTCGGTAATGTTGGGGGCGAAAGGGCGAAGGACGACACCGGGGCACCGCCCTCACGGTGATCAGTTACCCGTCCAAAAATGATGCTGGCCGTCGCTGATCCTCGGTGTTGTAGCCGCTTTCTACCTTCACCAAGCCGGAGGAGGAGGAGGGAAGGTGTGGTCAGCGAGATGGAATACCCGGGGCGGGCGGCGGCCACGACGACGCAGGAAGGCAAGGCAAGGCCAACGGCGGTTCCCTCCACCTCCTTCGGTGTGTGGTGTCTTGCTGCTGTGGTGGCATGAATGACGGCGTTGCCGCCCTGGTCCATGGCCTCATCAGCAGATCTTCCTATGCCGTGCCGTCCTTGGTCTCCCTTCCCGATGCCTGCGTTGATACCTACTGGAAGGCCTTGCTTCTTTCTTCGCCGGGCACCCGGGGGGGGGACGGCAGATTCGTGACTCCAGAGGGCAGGGCGGGATGGCGCATGAGCATTCCCCATTCGTGGTTTTTCTTTTCTTTCTTTCTACTTGATGATACTTTACATGACGTCTGCCTCTTCCGTCCCGCGTCCCGCAACTGGTGCTTGTCCCGTTGAAATTCCTGCCGGTCCAACCCCCCGGAACCCTCTTCCATCGTCAACCCAACCCTCCCCGGGTGACGACGAACACGGAGAGATAATGCGTGGCGTGTTGACGTGTATGTGTATAATGTTACAAATGTCCCCCTTGTCTGCACGAACAGGACCCCTTCTTTTGCCGCGCCGTGAATCCGGCGAAGATACCGGCGAGGGTAGAATTGCTGCCTTCTTCCTACCCTGCATGTTACCCTTCGCCCGAACCGGCGGTAATTATTTTCAGTGCTTCTCAGCGAGCTTCTACGGCGTCCGGGTTGCGTTCGGTATTGACGGGGGGAAAGGGCCTAACGAACCGGGCGCCCTGTCGTCGTGTCCTCGGCGTGTGTATGATCTGCACATAGAGTTTGAATCTTGCACTTCTAGAACGGTGTTCTCGGGAATCACGGACGGATAGGAAGAAAAAACAGGGCAAAAGGGTATCGGGGCCGCCAAGGGGACCTGACTCTGGCTCTGGGCTGGTTTACTGCTGCTACTGTGTTGGGGTATTAGTCCGAGGATTCTTTTTAAAGTGTGTGAACGTGTGTAAGTGTCTTTGCATTCTTTTTCAGCTGGAGTGAGGCGGACACGACGGACGGGGACCGAGTTTTGCGGCGGAGGTTCCGTGCGGAGGGAGCAGTCAGAAGCATTGAATGAAGCTGCCATTCTTCTAGTTGGTTGTTGTCGTTGTTGTTGGTGTTGGTTTTTCGCCTCGTGAATTGCGAGCAAAGACCAAAAAGTTTGTGGTTGGGGATGCCGTGATAGGTCCGGAAGGAAGGGACGAAAGGCAGTTGGTTGAGTTGGAGTTTATTCGGATCTTCCGTGCCTGCGGCTGGTATGTCCGTGTGGACTTGGCGCGTGCAAGCTGGAATTCTGTTTTGTTCTTGTTCTTTTTGATTTGCCAGCCCGTGTGTGCGTGTGTGTAGGTGGACGTTAAAATGTCTTGCTCTCTTCTTTTTTGTGTTTGACTCGGGCCCTTGGTGATCTGATGTTTGCCTTGGATCTTTCTTGGATCTAACTGGGATCGGATTGTGGGCGAGCGAGCAGGCGCATAGAGCTCGGAGCGGGATTGGGGGAGCGAGGAGGACTCTCTCGGCTCGGGGTATGTTGCGCTGCTTGCGAAGGGACGGGTATTGGGACTTGTCGGGTCATGGATGGGGCTTGGTCTGTGGTGTGTGTGCTTGACCGCATTGCAGTCCATGTTATCGAACGTCGACCTTAGTCAGTTGAGAAAGAGAGACGGGGGAGGATGGCATGTGTTCCCGTTGCCGTGGTGGCGTTTGTTTAGTACGGACAGTTTTGCCTTTCCTTACTCGGCCTTGTCGCTTTTCTTTCTCGGCCGGCAAGAGTTGACGTGATGGAGTATTACTGACTGACTAAAGGACGAACTGACTTGTGGTCTTGTCTGTCAGTATGCGAGATGACGTTGGTGGTTGGTTGTTGTTGACGATGATGTTATCTTTCCGTTCCCTCGTGTCAGTTGTTGAAGTTGAGCAGCGCTTGACTCGAGGGAAGTGACGATCACGCGACATATGTTGGAACTCTGGATGGGTCGCGGTTGAGAGATGGACAATGACGAGGACTACATTATCATGTGAAGCTTGCGGTTTTGGACGAGATCGTGGGATGAAGCGCACCTCTCTTGATGCAGAGAGTTGTCGTGATCACTTCTCTGGGAGGCAGGAAGTTGAAGCGGTCGTCGGTTCCAACCGTACCATTTCGTGATTCTAGTTGGCAGACCAGTTGCTAAACTATAATACCAAGTATAATGTCCCTTTCAGATGTGAATTGTGCGCCGTTCCGCAGACCACCCTTTTCAATCTCCTTGTTGCAGATGTTGTTAAGCATTAGAAGAAATGAAGATATCATTATTAGGACTCATGTATACACCACTAAGATCAATTATGCGAGGTCAGTTCAACACGAGTCTGCGCATTCTTCTGTCTCTTGGAATTGGTTTTGTGATACATCGCGATGTTCTGGGTGTTTGATACATGCAAATCGTTGTGTCAAAGAAGCCATGTTGCCGCCTTGACACAAAATCTACGACAATCCCAAACGTCTCAACCTGTATCTACCACGTGGATTGATTCCATCTCAGAATGTTTCTGATGTCATCAGTTATTCACCATCACATGTCTCAATCACGATCATCTGTATCTCATCCTGTCTCCTCGTCGGACGCCGGGCCCTGCAAACCCGCGGATCCAAGATGCCGTACTTCTCAACATCCCGTGCGTACATGTAAATCTCTCTCTGCATTTGCGTCTCTACCCTCACCATCAGATCTTGGGCGCGAAAAAGGTCGGAATTAGGCTTTCTTATGCCCTGCAGCCTCCCGTCTGCCCTCCCGAGTGGATGACGCCGCTGTATGGAACCTCATGCGCGTTTCCTTCGAGGCAATTCGTGCCTATGTGTAACTCCACGCCGGGAAACGGGTTCCGGCAGAAGAAGCGGGTGGCTTGGGGGTCTAGACTCTTCGGGAGTTGCTTTACTCTCCCATGGGAGGAAGCCACGGGCTGGCTTGGAGAGGGCACTGTGGCTGCCCCGGGAAAGATTCGTTGGTCGAGGAAGCGACGTGCCAAGAGGGAACGTTGTATGTCAGCGGGAGATGGCAGATGTATTGTTGATTCGACGTGGCTTCTAGACAGTGGTGGCTGGCTTGGCGCGAAGTGGCTTCTCGGATGAGGCCCTGGCGAGCCTAACCCCTGAAGCAAGAGATATTTGCTTTTGAAGTTCTGCTGAGGATGCACAGATGAGATCGGAAACACGTGTATGGTGTGTTCCAATGTTAAAGAAACAACTGCCCTTCGGAAATTGTTGGGTACCTCTTGTATTGTGTGAGATTGTCTGTCAATGCGAATACTTTAGGGCATCCTGTTTCGAGGTAAGACTCACCTGTCGTGGTGACCATAATGATGTTTCCCCTTGCTGCGGCCGGAGTCTATAGCTCTGAGGACATTGTGCCCCAAAAGAAGTCACCAGATGTCGCTATCGAGACGAGCCCCCAACGCCCAGGATTTGGTCGATTTCTGGCTTCCAAGGTCATCAGGGCTGCCTTCAAAGCATTGTAGAAGAAACCCAAAGTTAAAAGTTAACACTTGCCCTTCTTACTTTGTGCAGTGGAAGAGCCTTAGGCGGACAAAATACAACAGACTACGCTTCACAGACATTGTTCGTTCTTCAACGAGTAGTACAAAGATACCTCCTGTTCGAGGGATGAGACCACCAACACGCCTTTGCGACGCCCATGACCGCAGTGCTTAAATCAAGCCAAGTATGAGTTTATTCACCACCGCAGCGCACCATCATCTGATGAATATGACTTGTTGCGCTTCTTGCTGTTAGAATATTACATGTAACGACATGCCCTTTGGTTAACATGAACGAATTCATAATCTTGGATGAACGACTGAAGAACTTGAAACATGTCTTTGAGTAAAAAATCGGTACGGTAAGAGTAGTTGAGATGATGTGAAGGGAAAACTTCGCTGGAGTCATATTGACGGCGGTTTCCTGGCGTATCATGTCGCTAAATCAAAGACTAGTTAACTGAACGCATAGATGATTAGACGAGTGAGCAAGTCAACGAGGGCCAGGAGAAGAGATTGTGCTTCAATGATTACCTTCGGAGTGGGATATATAGTGAAGAAGGTCAACAAGTATCGGTTTTCCCGAGCTCGTCACAGTCCAATAGTTGAGGCTAGGCTCAGGCACCCTCACCACCAAGGATCTATGCTCACTTTGGGCCCACAAGCGACATTCATCTCGACATCCACACGCGGTCCCATTAGTGCATGTATTCAATGAGCATGGGAACTAGATCAACTCACTTCGGGCCAGAATTCCGGCGTGGTTGAGGCACGGGCGGCGTGATTGGCCTTGTGCGGCATGGTCAATGAGTACCTTGAAGACAAGCAATAAAGTGTGGATTCCGTAGATCTGCCCTGAGTTCCTACAAGCAACTTCGTATCTTACAAGAGCAAGAATCTATTATTTAATGCGTAACTGTCAACTCTTGTAGACTAGACCCTCGCGAATCTGACCATGAGGAGTTCTCATTTGCCCTACGAGGCGCAAACTGTGAAAACGTATGCAGTTTCTCAGTGAGAATCTTTCTACTGTAGTCTAGTCTTTCTTCTCTATGTTGAATCTCACTGTTGCCACTTCCCACATCATCGTGAACTTGTTTCGATATCCTGCCTAGGTCTTCTGTGCACAATGCAGTTCCAACCTCTCGGAGCAGCAGGCCATCCGTGACATGTCCTCCTCTACAACGTGGCGACGGCCTTAGATCACTCCTCTGGTAAGCCGTAATATCGACGAGGCGCTCTGGAGAGGTCGCTCGTCGCTCTCGGGGAGAGACGGATAAGGAGGTGGACTACCTCACCTGCGCGGAGTTTTTTGATGTATACTGGATGGATATCGAGACTTTCTTCAAGTTGAACCCTCAGATCAACAGCGACTACCGCAATATCAAACCTAGCATCCAATACTACACCACTGGCTGGAAGACTAGCCCTACCACGGTGTACGAGGTATGGTTATAACTCTTTAAATGAGGGTACTAACAGGACTGTTCTTGTTAGGGATAGAATCGTGGCGAAAGAAGAACGACCGTTGCGGTCCCCAGTTCTCAATGTCGGTCTTTGTCATATTTCAGAGACTTGCAGCAAATATACGATGACGGCCACAACAGATTCAAGCATGATGACGACCGCGGGAACCTCTACATCATCCGCAGCCTCTCCAGTCTGTACAGGTGGCACGAGAGCCGAGGGAATTACTCTGAAAATTACGTGTCATGTGGACTACAGGAGCAATGAGCTTCAAGAAAATACCTAAGAATATGAAGGCAATATATGTACTGTCTCCAGGCGGATACTTTGAGCATGAAGTAATAGTGGAGCTCGCTCTCATCGCACCCGCTAAACCTCCGGCGTCTACTTTGTGAGCCTGCTTGCTTCAACACATAGTGAATATGTCAAGAAGCGCTTCTGGTCAGCCAGCCCCTTGGTTACTCCCTTCATAATTGCTAGAGGTTGCAGAAGGGAAGGAAAGCAAAAAAAAGACATACAACACCGGGCATTCGCCGGTCGTCACCGACCCGACTACTACTCCAGCCCTCATTGGCTTATCTATGGGAGAGCGGACGGGATCCCGAGTTTTCCAATGGGTATGGTCGTATGTGGTGACATGAGGACGTCAAGTTGACTATGAAGGCAGGGGGTGAGGCTGTCGTGGAGGCGGCTACATCCCGCAACGACTCGCGTCAATCTCCACAACCCTGCCTACGAACATCCTTTGAATAGAAATAAACTCGATGATATCGTGTTCTAAGGCCCGCAGTGCGCTTATTGCTAATGCTGTAAGCATGCGCTGGCTTCAGGGTGGTTGATGCTTGACACCACCCACGAGCCAACTGTGTTAGTGAAATTGTCTCGATATTTTATGACTTTGTGGGAGCCTGAAGCAGATGAAACTTAAAATTTCTCGACGAGAATCCTATCGTTAATGAAGTGGATAATAGACCATTGAGGAATACAGCAATGTGTAGCTTCTGCTGCTTGTTAGAAATAACATTAATATATATACTACGCAGTATTGAGGATGAAGGTACATCGTCTTTGTAGCTTCTTGTCGGCTTCCTGAAGAGGCAATCAATATCTGATTGGCTCGGGCTGAAAGCTGGTCCCATAACGCTAGTCCTGGAGTAGAAAGTAATATCTGATTGGCCACAAAGAGAACCCCACATGGCCGAGATACAGATCTGGGCTCTTTGAATGGCCGCCTCTAACTTATTCTCACTACAAGACTGATCAAAATGATGCCACGCGCGTTGGAACGATTATGGCTCCGAGGCCGTGCCGTAGCCCCAAAACGCTCTTCGTCCCTGGGCGACTTCGTACAATGCTGCCTGCCTGGAATATAAAAAGGACGAATGTCGTATCGTGAAAACGCCGGCATTGTGTCTCCTGGCATACCCAACACCTCATATATCGCCCTCCTTGAACTCATCTCAAAGTCTACTCTCTCTACTTTCCCAGAACTCTTCACAAAACAACTACATTATCTTGTAGTATTAGCAAAGATGGTGATGCTACGGCTGACCGCGGAGCAGTACAGGAAGCTCCCCATCCTGGTGGACAAATCGACTTGCGTGGGAAAGACCTACGTCATCACCGGAGGCAACTCTGGCCTGGGCCTGGAGACTGCGCGGCATCTCGTAGCTGCCTCCGCCGCGACAGTTGTCCTGGCCGTGAGAAATCTCAGCGCCGGAGAAGTGGCCAAGGCAGACATTGAGAAGTCGACGGGACGCAAGGGCGTCATACAGGTAACGTTGATCTGGCCCAGACACCGGCGGCCGAGGACGTCAGACTGACATCGACACCCTCGTCACAAAGGTGCGGCATCTGGATCTATCAACCTATGCCGCCGTCCAAGTCTTCGCCAAGCAGATCTCTCAGGAGCTGGACAGGATCGACGGCTTCGTCTGCAACGCTGGCGTCATGATCGACCAGTGGGCGACTTTCGAAGGCGTTGAGAGCAGCATCTTCGTCAACGTCGTTAACACATTGTTCCTTGGAGCCTTGATGTTGCCCAAGCTGAGCGAGAGCGCGCGCAAGCTCGGCATTCAGCCTACGCTCCTCTTCATCGTCAGCGTGCTGGGATACACCGTCAAGGCGGAGATGGATAAGAGCCGCAACGGGTGCGTGTTTGACGGGCTCAACGACCCGAATCGCGCAAACATGGACTCAAGGTTCGTCAGAGAAGCAGAAGAAACAGGCGGCTTGCGACGGGACTAATACATATCAGGTACGCTCTCACGAAGCTCGTCGAGGAATGTGCCGTCCGTCAGTTTGCGGCCCAGTTTCCCGTAGACCGTACCGGCGTGGTCATCACCATGGTCGCCCCTGGTCTCTGTACCACCGGCTTGGGACGCGATGCGAGGACATTCACCAAGATCATGCATGAGGCGGTCCGGGCCATGATGGCTCGCACGGCGGAGGCGGGCAGTCGCACCATCCTGCACGGCCTGATGGTTGGCGAGGATGGTCACGGGAAGCTTCTGTCGGGCTGCAAGATCAAGGAGTTTTGGGTGCCAGACTGGTTTTGCAACGATGAGGGCCAGCGTTTGCAGAAGGCGATATGGAACGAGCTCGTTGCCAAGCTGGAACAGATCCAGCCTGGGTGCATTTCTCAGATTTCGTAGATTGGATATTGTCTTTGAGGAGGCTAAGTTGTAGGGAATATGAGACACCCTGATCAATCTACTTTTTTAGTTGAATTCAGCTTCTTTTGATAGACACTTCATGTCAATCCATAACCTCGAATGCTGATGCTGATTTATGGATGCCGATTGCTGTCCGATAGGACTATTCAAGACTGTATGTGTCATAGCAGCCGGCAATCATGTATCTCGGAATATGTCAAATCAGACTAAATTTTCAAAGGAAGATGTCATTCATATCTAGGAAATCTGACACCAGAAACACCCGTTCTAGGCTAGCGTGGTCTGAAGATACGTATCCCATGCCGTTGGAGAGAGGCACAGCAACAACTGAGCTCAAAGAGAGGATACCCCGCCCACCGTAATCTTCCGCACCGACATCGACCAGACCCTTTGAGCGACCACGATGAGCCATGCGCTGGTGTTCATCGAACAGAATGCGGCCGGGATAGGCAAATTCGACCGCCGCGCCCTTCGTTCTCATGTCATGAGGGGCAAGAATGCCGGCAGGCCACGACTTTCGACGCGAAGACAGACGAACAATGCCCCCATCAAGCGTCAGCTGAAGATGCCGCGACGGGTGTTCTGGAATGACTTCTGTCTGACCTCATTCCCGCAAGAACTCGATTCTGACTCCACTAGGCTCATGCATCGCTGTGCGGCTCCATCTACCACCACCCTAACCTCTATCCTGAAGCTTCTCTGATTTGTTCTCTCCAGGGTTTCTCGACATCAGTGACACGCTATTCCCTCCCCAATTCTGCTACAAGTTCGACATCTTGAAATCGATCTGGGTCAACTGCATACTGGCAGATGAAGCATGTGAGTGACTGTCACGCAAGCAGATTATCATTTCAACTCACTGCTGCCACAGACTTTCACTCGACCTTGGCCGTGTCGGCATCGTACGTCGACTTCTTTGAACGGAGGCCTACCACGTCGTCAAAGACTTTACATCACATATGTCAGGCTTACTCGTTGGTCAACCTCAAGCTTTCAGGCCCTCATGCCATATCGGACAGCGCAATTGCTGCCGTCGTAACCCTCGCCATCTACCAACAGATACACCAGCAACACTCCACCGGCCTCGTACACCTCAAAGGGCTTCATCGAATGATAGAGTTGCGCGGGGGTATTGCCAGATTGATGAAGGAGAACCGTCCATTGGCCCTCAAGCCACTCAGGTGTGCAGCCTCTCCCCAATCTGACGTTGAATCTCCGAAGCAGAGAAAACTGACCAACAGCAGGCTCGATATTGAATTGGCCATGCAGAACGGGTCACCCACGATGTTTGATAGTCGCGACGTACCCGTAACGACCGTCTTGTGCCCCTCTCGCACCGTCGCAGAACAGCTTTCTACCTGCCCCCCCGGGCTGCCCCGCATCATGCTAGATCTGATCGTTTTCGCTGGCATCCTCAACGACAGGGCAAAGAGCGGACGATCCAAAATCAACCCTCTAGACTACACAGAAACGCTCATATCACTCCTTTACCGTCTCTTGGAAGGTGAACCTCTCAGACAGCCTCTGCTTGCTTCAGAAGGCCTCTGCGGCGACGCAGCACATCTCGCGATGCTGGCGTTCATGACCGGCCTGCTTCCCAGCTACTGCCGTGACAACTTCGGTTCGTCACTTCTATGCACTCGTCTAGGGGACGCCGTTCGAAAGCTCCATTCGATGCACGTAGACGCGCAGACCGGAGACGTCTCCCTACCGCTGTGGATCTTTTTCACAAGCGGTATCTCCGTCCTGAAAAGCAATGACAACAGCTGGCTGCTTTTTGCAATCGCGGCGACTTGCGATCGCGCAGGCCTGCGTGACTGGGAGGCCGTTCGTCATCATCTCGGCGGGTTTCCGTGGATATACACACTGCATGATGCGCCTGCGCAGTCTTTATGGGAGGAAGCTTATCGTGTAGGTGTTGAATTGGTGTCCGGCCTGTAACAAAATACGCGAAGGAAGTAAACTGCTCGCAATTCAGTAGTAGTCGAGGGAAAGGGTTTCGTACTTTAGCTACCTTAAGTAGAGTAGCCTGGTGCATCGATCACGACTGCGAGGTGGTACCACAAAGCCCTCGGTTGACGTTCAACTAGTCTTGCATCTTCGTCGATAATCTCAAGACTCAGACACACTTTCCAACTTACGAGCGAGTCAAGCAGAGCAGATAATTAGATTTCCTTTGAGGCGATGTAATGGACTCGACATCCACACTCCAGGCCACGCACGCTTGAGTCGGTAAGAGGGCACAACAGCAGTGGACGCTCTAAGCGATAGCTTGGGCGCTGTCTTCGTATATCTAGCGGACAATGACCCCTTCCTGGAGCAAGATGATGTCTGATGGGAAGTTTAAGCAGGCTCAAACCAAGTTACCCAACCTGGGCTCTCGACGCAGGTGTTCTCAGTTGTTGAACGATCGATCTCATACTTTATGCCGTTGAGCGACCTTCAGAATCGCTTGGCCAATGTCGGGGAAGAATCAGAGTTCACTGCTGACACCGTCATACTCTCATCCAACCTGATGAGAGGAAGAAATTATAACAAGAAGCCATTGTCTGACAAACGCTGAGTTTGTCCTCAATTTCCAGGGGACTTGATCTTGACTGGTCTCGCCATTCGAGACGACCATTTCTCAGAAGACGCTTGCTATTTAATGTAGAGCAAACACCTTCACATGCTCTTGATATTGATGGTAGCAAGGATCTCTTCTGCTGAAATAACAAGCCCCGTTAATTGTGAAGTGGCCAACCTCACCGTCTAAAACGTCTCCCTGTACTTCTCAATGCAGCGTGATCCCAATCGGTCTCGTTGAATAATCATAAGATTCCAATTCGTGAATTACTTGACCACGAAGTGCCTGCACGATGGCGTGGGTAATTTCTTCTTCCCGTGGATTCTGGTCGCTGCGGAGGACGACAATTAACCGGCTGGGCATGAAAAAGCCGATGACGTCGCCTTTCCTAGTTGGAGCCGGTACGACATAAGAGAATCTCTCCCTAGTTATGATAAGCTTTGAGTGCCATGTTCTTATTGTTTGCCTCCAAAGGGTGCAAGGAGACGGGATGAAGGGCAAGGTTGGCCCGGCCTAGCGGAGGTCATATCCCACTGAACAACCAATTGTATGCTAGATGGTCGCCCGTTACAGCATGTGGGTCGGCGCCACACCCGTTCGCTCAGGACATGCTTAAACACCGAACAGCACACCACATATCTGACGTCTCTAACTACTTAGCTCTATTTACTGACATTAGAAAGGAACAGATAATACGCAAGAGCAGAGGCTCTCGCACACTGCCATTTTACATAGCTTTCAGATCATCCGGGCATGGAGTTTGGTCAAGTGAGATGGAGGACGACACAGACTACAGTGATGAACGACGACATGTACTGGTAAAGAACGTCCAAGGGCCGCCAACCGTGAATGACAGCTTCCAATTCCTCGTCCGTTGGCAGGCTGGGCAGCGCGTCCGTGACCACATTGGGGTCGTCTGTGTTCTGAGGTTCATCTGAGTCCAGATTGAACGGATCGCCGTATCCCGAGAGATCGGGGCTGCCGGTATATGGCAGTCGTCTGTCTTATTCCTGTCGCCTGAGCAGTTTGTCCATTTCGTCGATGAGAGACTTCAGTTGGTCCATGTCCTGCCTCAGTGCGACAATAGTGGCATCTTTTTTGTTGTTCTGGGACTTCAATCGGCCAACCTCCTGCCTCAGTGCGACAATAGTGGCATCCTTTTCGTTGTCCAGAGCTCCTGTGGTGGCATCTTGCGGGTCCACGCCATCGCCTTGTCCCTGACCCAAGCGCTTGACGCGGTTTTCCCTTTTCGCGTTATAGCGTCGGAGAGCGAGTAGAGATCGGCTCATGTATCTTTTGAGATCCGCCTTAGGAGGATTGTTGTCCGGAGCGGCGCCAAGCACGTAGCGGACCGTGACGTCCGCAGGGAGGAAGTAGGGAGCTCCCATGTAACTGATTTGGTCGAGGGCGTACCTGACGTAGTTGAAAATTCTGATTGAGACGGGGTAAGGTTTGTCGTCTGTAACTGTGGCATTTTTCTTGCCAGGCAGCTTCTCGGCAATCGGCACAGTCTCCTCGAGAGACTGGAGGAACGCCGAGTACACGGTGTTTTCGATTGAGCGGGCTTCGAGTCGTTTTCGGACCTCTTCGTGATGTTCCTCGAGAGGCTTGTTCTGGCCCTTCCATTCGGCAAGAACCTGCCTGAATACGGTGAAGAAAGGGTGTATGCTTGATGGCCGAGCGAACCTCCAGGCGCGTCGGTCCTCCTCGTTCAATATGCAAGTGTACTGTATGCCCATGATGAGGAGATTGATGTCCCCGTTCCATAGAGGATGCACGAGAATTCTCTTGAGGCTGTCGGCGAATCCCGATGCCCATCGCGCCGGTGGGGTGCCCCTTCCGGTGTTGCCCTCGTAGACCAGGCTGTACTTTTCCGAGATGAGTTCAAATGGCGACATGTGATAGAATCTGAGGCACATTCGGAAGACCGTGTCGGTCGCCTTGTCTTTGTAGTCTAGGAGGGCGTCTCGAAGCGGCTCCTCTTCCCAATCTTTGACGAGCTTCGCTTCGTCGTCTCGTGACCAATCTTGGTCGTAGTCATTGTCGGGTAGTGTCTCTGGGAGCAATCTGTCGATATCTTCCAACGTCAGTCGTGGCGCCTGGGTAGCGACAGTCTCGGAGCACTTCTGTGGTACTCTGTCGAACATTTCTGTTTCGAAGGCGATCCAGGAAGGTTGCTTGGTGCCTCTGCACTCTTGCCCTGAGGCCCTGGACCCTCGGTTCTCATCATCGCTGGCCTCGCTGCCGTTGTCGTCGTTCTTGCGTGATTTTTTGGGTGCACGACCACCCGCTTCGGGGGCCGATCGTTTGCGAGATCCTGCCATCTTGCGTGATGGCCGGGCTGGAGAGGTGTGGTGTAGAAGAGAAAGAGCTGGGGAGTGGGGGGGGGGGGGGGGGGGGTTTTTTTGGNGGGGGGGGGGGGGGGGGGGGGGGGGGGGGGGGGGGGGGGGGGGGGGGGGGGGGCTGTTTTTTGGACTTGGCATAGAGGCAGGAGGCACCGACGAACGGGGATCACAAAGGTGGCAGCGCGGGCGATGGATGCGACAGATCTAAGGGCACTGAATGAGATGAATGCTTTGTAAAATGCCAGCGTGTGCGAATATCTGCCTTTGCAATTTATCTCATCCCCTTCAGTGACAGGAAGTAGTGTTCCTTTAATGACAAGAAGCAGAGCTGAGCTCTTGGAGACTTTAGACGTGTGGGCGCGGACAATAACGATATTCCCAAGCCGACGCGTCGCGTCTGTGATGGGTATGTTCAAAGTCCATTCGTACAAGGCTGATTTGCTTCACAAAGGGGTCCAGATTAGCAGCTTTGCGACGATGAAAATCTGAAGCCTCCTTTAGAGTGAAAGGTTACATAGCTGGCAGAACCCGACGACCTGTCCCAGGTACACAGATATGCTGTAAAGCACTAAGTGCAGTTAAAAATTGTATCCAGAGGGAAGGTGTAAGTCTGCCGTATCCATTTTACAGGGAACTGCCAATTCCCATATAAAAATGCGTGGAGGGGAGGGACAGGTTCTACATGTAAGTTTGTATGGCACCTGTCAAGTGCCAGTCTAATCCTATACTAAAAAATCAGCAACTCTCCCCCACATGGATTTTCTAGGTACTTCCCAAGTCTCATACTCACCTTAAAGTGTCTTCCTTCCTATAGCAAGAGATCTAAATGAATTTCGCAGCCACTTCGTTAATACTATATTGGCGGCGCTGCACCCCCTGTTCACAGATCTTTCTGTACCTGGCCAGGCCACTTGAATATTCAGGGTTTCCCTCACTTCCAAAACATCGGAGCACCCAACAATGGTGACTGGTGCTGAGCCTTTCGCACTGCATCCAGCGAGACACACCCGACGTCAGGTCTAAAACTACCACGTTTCGTGGGCCACGTAACCGCATGTTTCTTGCAAAGTCGGTGATGAGGCACCTAAGGACGACGACAAGATCAATTCGCAATCCCGTCGCGCGGAACGGGACTACGACGAATTCTTCCACCGTCGTCCGTCTCCGTCGTCCTTTGTCTCCGTTGTCTACCATATTATTCATCCGCAGAGACCGTCTATCTACAGGACGACTAGGCATGATTGACGCAGTTCCAATGCCCAAGACGATGATGTCGGCTGGTCCGCCTCAGACGACGAGCCAGAGGATGCGGCAGCTGCTCTCAAGCAGTTCCTCATCTCCGACTTTCATCGCTTTGGCGACAAGAAATATGCGGTTACGTGGTCCACGAAATGTGGTAGTCTCATGCCCAACTTCGGGTCGCCCTTAGGTGCCTCGTAGTTTGTGTCGGCGCTGGCGATGTTCCCTCGGCTCTCGTACCACCTGTACAGACTGGAGAGGCTGAGGATGATGCAGAAGTTCCCGCGGTCGTCATTATGCTTAAATCTGTTACGCTCATCAGCGTCGTATATATGCTATAAGTCCCTGATGTATGAGAAAGACCGATATTGAGGTGCCTTGTGGCAGCGGCGCTGAGGTGATGCGGTTGTCGATTTGACACTTGCCCAATCCGTAGAAGCTAGAGCCAGTACCATACTTGCCGTCCATATTACAACAGTCTCCGAGTTACAGCAAGGAAAGTCGGAGTAGGCATAGGAGGGATTCCCAAACTAGGGACCGCAACAGCCGTTCTGATTTCGCCGCAACTCTTATCCCAAATAAGAACAATCCTATTAGCATCCTCATTTAGAGAGATACAACCATGCCTCGTACACTATGGTGAGCCTAGTCTTCGAGCCAGCAGTGCAGTGAAGAAGGTTTTACTGACATACCCCAGGTATTAAGCTAACAGAGACGCCGAACAAGACCATGTATATCAATACATACGTGTGATGCTACTGTCTAATAAGTCTCGTTCTCATCTGCATCAA